TTTACCTAAATACAAGTTTTTATCTGTAAATTTTTAAAATGCAAAATTTCCATTTTTGACATCCGCGTCTACACGTGCACGAAACTTGGTATACTGTGATCATTTGCAACGCTGATTCCGAATATGGCCATCAAAAACACTAAAGTGTCGCGAAGTTATACTTAATGTCGAAAATGAGATTGAGATGTGTTTTGGATGTTATATGACATAATAACTTGAGAAGTACCATTCGGATTTTGATGAAATTTTCACAAAACGTCAGTACTATGGTAAGGACGCAAAATGTACGTTGTTTTTAAAAGATGGTCCAGAGGTAGCGAAAAAAAAAAATCCGTCAAACCTCGTTTTTGACGTTTCATAGATTTTTTATACTAAGTGACATATAAATCCGAACACCCAGTTTAAATGGTTTTATTTTAATAAAAGTTGGTGAATGTATTTATCTTACTGTAAATAACAAGTGAAAAAATTTTCAGCCTTATCAGTTGGACATTCCGGTTTTTATACTGCTTTTTTTTAATTCACTAACGCTCTAAAAATGAATATTTCAGCCGCAGTAAAGAATCAACGTTGGCGGATTTTGGTTCTTGACATCCTTTACGATCGGTTACGATGCCTAGAGTACGGAGACCTGTACGATTTCGTCAACTTAGTGAGTTTGATAGGGGCCGTATAGTGAGACTTCGGGAAGCTGGGCTTTCTTTTCGGGCAATTGCAGTTAGAGTGCAAAGAAGTGTAGACACTGTGGTTAGGTGTTGTCAGGCATGGCTTCGAGAAGGCTGTACGCAAAGAGCAAGGGGCACTGGACGCCGCCGTAGAACAACAGACCGTGAAGATCGCCGCCTAAGATTATTGGCCTTAAGGGACCGTTTCTCCACTACCAGGTCCATTGCAAATGAATGGTTTGCAGAACACGGAAGACCTATTGGCATGCGAAGTGTTTACCGACGAATGAGAAGTTTTGGCTTGTTTTCATACCGGCCTCACTGGGTCCTCCCTTTAACTCGAGAACACCGACGTAATCGCTTTGAGTGGTGTAGACAACGGTCACTCTGGGATCAGGAATGGAACAGTATTGTCTTTAGTGACGAGTCTCGATTTTGTTTAGGCATGCACGATGGTCGTGCCAGGGTTAGAAGGCGACGTGGTGAAAGGAGGAATCCACAGTTTTTTGTTGAAAGACATGTTCATCACACTGTTGGAGTTATGGTTTGGGGTGCTATAGCTTATGGTTCCAGGTCACCTTTAATCTTCATCAGAGGTAACATGAACGCGCAGCGTTATATCCACGAAGTTCTAGAACCCCATCTTTTACCCTATCTTGACACCCTGGCAGATCCAACTTTCCAACAGGATAATGCCCGACCACATGTTGCATGGCCACCAAGATCTCCCGACTTATCCCCAATTGAGCACGTATGGGATATGATGGGTAGGAGATTGCTCAATTTGCAACGTCCTCCTCAGACTCTAGAAGCACTTCGAGAGGAGTTGGTGGTTGCCTGGAATGAGATACCACAGGAGGACATTGACCTGATCAGAAGCATGCCTAGGCGCGTTGGAGAATGCGTAGCACATCAGGGTGCATCCACACATTATTAAAGGTCAAAGGGCTTTAAAGCAGTGCAATCATTTTGAAATTTTTATCATTTACTTATTATGCTTCATTAAGTACTTATACAAAATTTTATTAAAATAAAACCATTTAAACTGGGTGTTCGGATTTATATGTCACTTAGTATATTATACATGTTTGTAGCTCAATGGGATTAATATAATCCTTTATGAACTGATGATGGCGTTGCGTGGAAAGTGCAGTCAACCTACTTGACGATATTTGCTGACTTCCCATCGATCTAGCAAGAAACTGTAACCAAATTCGTGACCGAAAGAAGTGACCGATTTACTCAAGAAGCGTTTTTTCTCTACATTGAATATACGCAATCATTTTTGATTTTTTCCATGAGCACTAGGGTTGGTAAGAACCCCGGTTTTTTGAAAAACAAAAAAAAATGTTGTTTGGTTTAAACCAGATTTATTAGCAACTGGATAGCATTATTGGATAGGTGTAAAGCAGATTCTGTGAAAAGTGACCAAATAAGAATATGTCTAAAGGCAACTAAACACATACATACGAATTAAAAGTTTTGACTGTGCAACACGAAGCTCGTCCCCCAGTCCAAGATCCGTTGCGTGCTTAGTAGACTAGAAACAAGAATCATGTAAAGGTCCCCAAACCAGAAAAAATGTCATACTCAGATCGTATCTTTGCTTAGGACCTCGATGTTACAATCTTCGTCCACAAGATCTGGAACCCATTTCCTCCAAATACTCATTTAAGAGTGCAAGACTAGAGAATATATGGTATATGCCCAGAAAGAGATCATGAAATTATTGATATAAAATAGTCACTGCTAATATGAAAAGCCAACATACTAAAATGAACTTACGATATTGACGATATACTTATACTATACTAATATTCCCGATTTTGACAAGATACTCGATAATGAGACATATACTCCCGAAATGTAGACTCAGTATCGAACAATAATTTATTAAAAAAAAGCAATTCATGATCCACTGAAATTATTCCCACTCCTACTGTGTCAGGTAATCTGTTCTCTGAAATTTGATGTAACATCTCAAGTTTAATATTATTTGTAAATTTTATGCCATTCTAAATCATTTTTATGTTCTTGCAAGTTATTTTTTATATAGTCGGGCATAACCGCGTACAAGGCCAGCCTTCTGCGGGTTTTCTCTCTTGTGTATTAGGATCAAACGTTTCCTTTATAATCATTTATCTGTATTTTGGCCAATAAACATTATTTTTACAAATATTCATATAGAAACACAAAGTAGCTTACTCTGTATTAAGCCAAAAGAAGAAAAATTGTACACGTGTTATTCAATGATATCAAAAATTTCATCATTTTGATTTTATCAATATCATCTTTTTTGCTTCTGCTCCACTCAATTGTGGTCTCTTTTGAAGTTGCGCTACTTTCAAAAGATTTGTTTTTGCCTTTTTTTAAATTGAGCACTGCTTAAAATTTCATCATGATTGGCAGCACAGTGAAATCTCCTTTGGACGGACACCAACTGGACCGACTGAAATTGTCCGTTCAAGAGGGGTTTCTGTATAAAACAAATACAAAAAAATTTTTTTTTAATGATGAATATATTAAAGAAACTGGGACATTTAAGACGTATATGCATATAAATGTTTTTGAAATACAAAACTTTGAACTTAAGAAAAAAACGTTTGTTACCTTTAGTATTTACATACATATGTATGTGTGTACATGTACATATACGAGCTCCTTCCCACTTCAGTTGGCCCAACTAATGAAATCTGTCACAATCTGATGAACTGGGCTTATTTAAGATGCTATGATAGTGAACTGTTTTTGACAACGGTTGATTAACTGAAGGAAAATATAATTCGGATTAAATAAAACGAAAATTGATGGAAAAAATCTTCAAATTTCAAAAACCTTGTTTTTCCCTTAAAAACAGTTGGTTAAACCTTGATGAATACGTCGTTAAAAATTTAACAACAAAAATAATAGGCGTTCTGTATTAACAGAATTCCAAAATTACAGGGGACTGATTGGCGAGGTTTGCTACTCTTATACTTAACCATCAGTCCGCAACATGCGTTAAGTGGTACATTAGCCATACAAAAATTTCTAAAATAGAAAAATCACAAACCAATGCTTATTTCAAAAGGTACAGAGCTTTAATGATATTTATGAAAATATATATGTGTAGTATATTAATATTCTTATTTCTTAGACATTTGCCATGTACAGGGTGACTTTGAAGTTGAGTCATTAATTTTCAGATAATGATTGTAGAAGGAAGATAAACCAAAATATGTGTGTAAAAATAAAAAAAAAAATAAAAAAAAAATGTTACCTTGTTTAATAAAGTATCCTCCCGACAAGTACTTCAGTGCGGACCTGTATTTGATCGTGCGGTCTTGGAGCAGCATGCCCTCACCTGTGAGGTCTTAAGTCACCTGATTCACGAGCCCTTTGTACTACATTAACAAAGGCACGAGGGGTTGGTTGCACTCGATTGGGAAACCGATTCGCGTAAATCCGTGATGCATCCGGGAGCATTTTGTAAAGACTGCCCCCCCGTAAATAAGAATCATGTCCACAAGTTCAGCATTTTCGTAAACATGTGCCATTTTTGATTTCGTTTGAACCACGCAACACACTACTATTCACTTACGCGTTATCGACTGACGAAAAACATCGTGTTATAAACGTTTCAAATTCTTTCGCTTTTTTGTTTCCGATGCGATGAACCGGTCAGGCGGATTATATCCGTTGTCGCCAAACACGAGCATATAATAGGCAGGGCGGTACTCAAACTTCCAAAGGGCTATAACTTTGTTACTTTAATTTTACCAGAAAAATGGTAAAGGAAAAAAACATTTCTTTTGATCAGATCTACTCACTGTTAAAATAAATGACTCAACTTCGAAGTCACCCTGTATATCCTTATTAGAGGAAGCGTTTTCTCTAAGGTAACGATTCTTCATGTTAGCAATGTGAAATTTAAGAAATGATATCCTATTAAATCATTCATTTACATCCACTTTAGTACCTGATATTTAGCCAAAACGTGGTCAAATTTACGCATATAATTATTATGAATCGCCTGAACAATATTTTTAGTGAAATAATCTAATGATAGAAAATAAACAATATGACAGTAAGATAGATACAATTAAAGTCTCACACAGTTTTTTGCGTAACTTAAAATTTAGTAAGTGACGATGAGCTATTAAAGTGCTTAATCGGGGATAAGTCTACATGTTCAACAAACCTCAATTTGGTATCTAAAACCACATCAAGAATTTTGGAACGCTGAGTGTGAATACGGCCATGAAAAAGTCTCTAAGCTCTATTCGAAGTAGAAAAATGGAAAATGGCTGGGGTCTATTTGATTTTTGTTTACTAATACGATTTTCTTTGTTCCAGGGAGGTAGAAGAGTGTTTGGTGTAGCATAGCACATCACATTCCCATACATATGTAAGTAGCATCACACGAAAGACTGATTTTCGTAGCAACTATGTCGTCTGAAGAGCAGAAAGAAGAGGAGCAGACAATGCTCGAAAAGACCAGCAATAATAATTGTGACGATTCCAGATTGAACGTCGATTTGCCCACAGATCAAACATCGCTGACCCATGATTTAGACAACTACCGTCACCAGGCTGAGTGCAACGGCAACTCTAGAGAAAAAGATAACGATACCATATGCGGTTTAGGACCATGTACCCCAAATTGGTTACAAAAATTTGCCTCAAAACAGTCGTTCCTCATAGTATTTTGTATAGCGTGGGTGCTGCAAGGAATGTACCACACATACTTCGTGAGTGCAATAACTACGATAGAAAAATTGTTTCAAATCCAATCTAAAATTACTGGAATCATAATGAGTGCCACTGAAATTGGACAAATTGGGTCTTCCTTATTGCTGACGTATTATGGTGGACAAGGTCACAGACCTAAGTGGATAGCATGGGGCATGGTACTGTTCGCTGTGTCTTCCTTCACATGTTCTCTACCTCACTTTATCTATGGAAGGCAACTGATTACGGCCAACGATTTGACGGGGATTACAAAGGAACCAAATGTTTGTAGAGCGTTTACATCGAATGCTAGTCTTTTAATGAATTCAAATAACGCATCTTCTATAGATAACTTTACAACGAGCTTGCCACATATAATGCAATCTTGTGAAGAAGAAATAACAATGGGACATCGATTGCAACCGTCGGTGACGAATATTGTATTAGCCATATTTTTTATCAGCTTACTGGGTGTCGGCATGGGTCAAACGGCTGTGTACACCCTCGGAATCCCCTATATCGACGATAATGTTGCCAGCAAGGAGTCACCCCTATATTTTGGTAAGGGACTATTCCGGTTTGTAACATTAAGGGCCTTAGCGTCAGTCGTTCCTACAATTCTAGGACACCTTTCCTGTCATTCTGAAAGGCGCTCTATTTTGAGGTTGCAAATATCTATTTGAATGAAATTCTTCATGCTTTTGATTCCTGTCATCTGTTTTATCAGCCTAAAATTACCTGCAACTCAAAAAGACAACATAACTAGGAGACAAGGAGGCCATAAAGGTGACCTACAATTGTCGGAACGACTGACTATAGCACATATTTGGGTTGATCGCTACGCTCCGCTTCTGAACCCCTTGCAGATACTTATTTGATGAATGTTGTTGACAGTAAAACTACGTAAGCAAGATATTAGGTTTATATATCAAAATGTTTTGAAGTTATCTGCTTTTTGTTTCGCGAAGGATTTTAATAGAAATGGATTCTGTTGAACAAAGAGCCGTAATAAAATGGTGACAAATAGGTTGACCTTCCCACGCAACTCTGTCATCAGCCCATAAAACACGATATCCGGCCCTTTGAGCTAGATACAAAAATATATAACAGAACAATTAAATACATAGGTCAAATCATTCAAACATGCTCACATCTAGAAAGAAATTCAATCAAACCAAATTAAATTTCAACCAAGCCAGCTATAAAATTTAATCAACTATGTGACAGCCAACAAGTTTAATTGGTTCAATTAAAATCTGATTTCTAAGACAGTTTACTTGAATCTTGAAAATAGCTCATGTAAACCAATACACAATCGTTTAATTGAATTTATTAAACCGTTCACTTAGATTGAGTACACCAAATTACTTAAAATCAAGTAAAACGATTTAATTATGTTTCTTACATTTATTTAAATATACTAAGTGACATATAAATCCGAACACCTAGTTTAAATGGTTTTATTTTAATAAAATTTTGTATAAGTACTTAATGAAGCATAATAAGTAAATGATAAAAATTTCAAAATGATTGCACTGCTTTAAAGCCCTTTGACCTTTAATAATGTGTGGATGCACCCTGATGTGCTACGCATTCTCCAACGCGCCTAGGCATGCTTCTGATCAGGTGGTCAATGTCCTCCTGTGGTATCTCATTCCAGGCAACCACCAACTCCTCTCGAAGTGCTTCTAGAGTCTGAGGAGGACGTTGCAAATTGAGCAATCTCCTACCCATCATATACCACATGTGCTCAATTGGGGATAAGTCGGGAGATCTTGGTGGCCATGGTAACAATGTGACATCATTATGTTGAAAGAAGTCTATTGTGACTCTTGCAACATGTGGTCGGGCATTATCTTGTTGGAAAGTTGGATCTGCCAGGGTGTCAAGATAGGGTAAAAGATGGGGTTCTAGAACTTCGTGGATATAACGCTGCGCGTTCATGTTACCTCTGATGAAGATTAAAGGTGACCTGGAACCATAAGCTATAGCACCCCAAACCATAACTCCAACAGTGTGATGAACATGTCTTTCAACAAAAAACTGTGGATTCCTCCTTTCACCACGTCGCCTTCTAACCCTGGCACGACCATCGTGCATGCCTAAACAAAATCGAGACTCGTCACTAAAGACAATACTGTTCCATTCCTGATCCCAGAGTGACCGTTGTCTGCACCACTCAAGGCGATTACGTCGGTGTTCTCGAGTTAAAGGGAGGACCCAGTGTGGCCGGTATGAAAACAAGCCAAAACTTCTCATTCGTCGGTAAACACTTCGCATGCCAATAGGTCTTCCGTGTTCTGCAAACCATTCATTTGCAATGGACCTGGTAGTGGAGAAACGGTCCCTTAAGGCCAATAATATTAGGCGGCGATCTTCACGGTCTGTTGTTCTACGGCGGCGTCCAGTGCCCCTTGCTCTTTGCGTACGGCCTTCTCGAAGCCATGCCTGACAACACCTAACCACAGTGTCTACACTTCTTTGCACTCTAACTGCAATTGCCCGAAAAGAAAGTCCAGCTTCCCGAAGTCCCACTATACGGCCCCTATCAAACTCACTAAGTTGACGAGATCGTACAGGTCTCCGTACATCGTAACCGATCGTAAAGGATGTCTAGAACCAAAATCCGCCAACGTTGATTGTTTACTGCAGCTGAAATATTCATTTTTAGAGCGTGAGTGAATTAAAAAAAAGCAGTATAAAAACCGGAATGTCCAACTGATAAGGCTGAAAATTTTTTCACTTGTTATTTACAGTAAGATAAATACATTCACCAACTTTTATTAAAATAAAACCATTTAAACTGGGTGTTCGGATTTATATGTCACTTAGTATAGTTTAGGAAAAAGTATTTGCCTAGTTTTAATGAATTATTTTATTTAAATTTAAAAGTATATTTGGATTTTAAAAGAACAAATTGAATTGTATTGAATGATGTATATTATAGCTGTGCTCTGACAAATCTTAGATATCAAAAAAAATTGAAAACTTGATATTGATATTTGATGTTTTCGAATCAAAATAAAAACTGCCGAAGTTTATAGCTCTAACAAAATTCGATAACATTCATTTTTATTGATTGTGAACTTAGGATATATGGGATCAAGCTTTACTAATATTATTTGCCTGCGTGTTCAGAAGCAAGTTACATCATCATTTCACTAGATCGTATTTGTTTTAAAGAAAGTATGGAAAAGGATACCTGAAAGTACATAAGGCCACTTGATCATATGTACAAAAATGTAATTTTATTTCTAACGATAAAACAATATTGTTCTCACCTGCACTGAACGTATTTACATATACACCTTAGGAAAAACCATTGTTATACATGGGAAATCATTTCTTGGCAACAGCGCATCGGCTCGTCTACGTTCATCGCTATTCGTACATATTTCCTACCGTTAACCGCAGACCTGTATCACGAATGAGAATAATAGGCAGATACGCTGTGTTGCCAATTTGAGTAGAGCTTCCCGAATTGTGGGGAATTTAGAGTTAAGTGTTGATTCATTCAAGCTTTTAATCAGCATGGCCTAGACGTTAGAACTTCATAAAGATAACATTGAAGCTGAATGCTGCTGGAGTATAGTGTTTCGAATATTCAAAGCGGAGCGGGACACTATACTCGTTCAATGGATCATCAAGCCACAGTCTTTTCAACAAAGGAATTATTTTACGAAAATGCGTTATATTTTTACGATTTTGTCGTCACCAAATCTCTGTTTCTCAAAATGTACGTCTATTGTAGAATTTTCAGCAAGAAACGTGATCTAGTATTTACTCAACATTACGGATTTCTCGAAATACATTAAAAAATGTGACCTAGATACCTAACTGCCCCAAGCTCTTTAAATATAACACCTTAAACCAGGGTTACCAGGTGCTCAGTCACGTTGATTGTCATGTTGTACTGCGCAAGTCAGCAAACAATCTGGCGTAATAAACGTTAGGAATCATCAGGTATTGCCAGATTCCCGAATACCGGGCACCATAGTACCCGTTATAGTTATCCTTCAAAGTTGTCAAATCGCCCCTATGGCGCAAATTCGCCACACCAGGCAACTGTTTATCACTACTATTTGATAGTCATATGGTAGTTGTAGCCCTATCTAGCGGTCCATGATTTCTCTCAATACTGTTGTATCTCTACTGGCAACAAGAATAGGGATTACAAAATCATTTATACAACAATATACAAACATGAAAAATATGATTTGAACCATGAAACATTAATACAATTTTAATAGTTTGAACTTTTTTCATTTTTGGAATACTCTTATGTGGAATCCGCAGCTATTTTTCCAGAAATTTGGGTAGACTTAGATTTCTTAGAAATATGACATATTGGTATCGGCAACTCTGCGAATGGGAGAAACAAATCGCATTTGTTGAGCGCATCCGTCTAAGCGGTAGGCGCCAGCGCCCGTTCTGCCATCTCTCTCTTTTATCACTCTTCTACTTTACCCCGTTGTCCGTTACACTCCGACGCTGCCAGATACGATCCTACAATCGAGTGTCTTTCACGCACCTACATACTTTTGTATATTTCCATCTCTCTTCCTCATCATAATGTATAATAATGGTTTTTCCCAAGGTGTATAAAATACTACCAAGTCTGCACCAATAGGAGGCTCCACTTCCTATATACACCTTGGGAAAAAACATTATTATACATTATGATGAGGAAGAGAGATGGAAATATACAAAAGTATGTAGGTGCGTGAAAGACACTCGATTGTAGGATCCTATGTGGCAGCGTCGGAGTGTGACGGACAACGGGGTAAAGTAGAAGAGTGATAAAAGAGAGAGCGCAGAACGGGCGCTGGCGCCTACCGCTTAGACGGATGCGCTCAACAAATGCGATTTGTTTCTCCCATTCGCAGAGTTGCCGATACCAATATGTCATATTTCTAAGAAATCTAAGTCTACCCAAATTTCGGGAAAAATAGCTGCGGAATCCACATAAGAGTATTCCAAAAATGAAAAAAGTTCAAACTATTAAAATTGTATTAATGTTTCATGGTTCAAATCATATTTTTCATGTTTGTATATTGTTGTATAAATGATTTTGTAATCCCTATTCTTGTTGCCAGTAGAGAGACAACAGTATTGAGAGAAATCATGGACCGCTAGATAGGGCTACAACTACCATATGACTATCAAATAGTAGTGATAAACAGGGTTTGTTTATAGCACAGTTGCCTGGTGTGGCGAATTTGCGCCATAGGGGCGATTTGACAACTTTGAAGGACAACTATAACGGGTACTATGGTGCCCGGTATTCGGGAATCTGGCAATACCTGATGATTCCTAACGTTTATTACGCCAGATTGTTTGCTGACTTGCGCAGTACAACATGACAATCAACGTGACTGAGCACCTGGTAACCCTGGTTTAAGGTGTTATATTTAAAGAGCTTGGGTCACATTTTTTAATGTATTTCGAGAAATCCGTAATGTTGAGTAAATACTAGATCACGTTTCTTGCTTAGTTTGCTGAAAATTCTACAATAGACGTACATTTTGAGAAACAGAGATTTGGTGACGACAAAATCGTAAAATATAACACATTTTCGTAAAATAATTTCTTTGTTGAAAAGACTGTGGCTTGATGACCCATTGAACGAGTATAGTGTCCCGCTCCGCTTTGAATATTCGAAACACTATACTCCAGCAGCATTCAGCTTCAATGTTATCTTTATGAAGTTCTAACGTCTAGGCCATGCTGATTAAAAGCTTGAATGAATCAACACTTAACTCTAAATTCCCCACAATTCGGGAAGCTCTACTCAAATTGGCTACACAGCGTATCTGCCTATTATTCTCATTCGTGATACAGGTCTGCGGTTAACGGTAGGAAATATGTACGAATAGCGATGAAAGTAGACGAGCCGATGCGCTGTTGCCAAGAAATGATTTCCCATGTATAACAATGGTTTTTCCTAAGGTGTATGTACAATATAAAAGAAAAGCACATCAATTCTATGTTGAGCACATGTTTGGTATGAATGCCCTTCATTGTCCCAGGTAGCTGCATGAATTGAATTTTGAAGTTCTTCCCATTCCGTCACGTCAGCAGTCACTCCCCTACACAGACTGTTTCAGTAAGATCAAGAAATATTCTAACCATGGTTATATGTCACTAAGCTCCGTATACTCCCGATCACGAATGAAGGGCTGAGTCCTGCCGAGTCCGCGTAAATAGTTCAACTGTTTATTTTCAAGCAAATTAGTTTAATAGTATATTACTTTCAATAAAACTGGTCCCATTTAACCGAATAATTTAGTTAATTAGAGTAAAAAAACATATTACGCGTAATGAAAATTTTTCAGAACAGTTTGACCACGCCTTCATCTATTTGATAACGCTTACGCTAGTTTCTTCCCTGCCCTGCCCATCTGGCAACGCTGTTAGACCACACCAGTAAAACACGTAATACGTCCACGATACTATAACACTCCTGCCGATGATGCTGCTAGGCGCAAGGCAGGGTTCGCCGTATGAAAGTCACCCTTGAATTACATCGTCCCCATAGACTTGTTTATAAACATTTCTGTAAATTATAAGGGCAAATGTTTGGGGAAAACTTTGATGTGTGAAATTATGTTCTGATATGTACGTAAAATATACTGCCGCCAACAAAATGATATATACAGACCCCCAACCCCCGATTTCAAACCCTACAAGTTGAGCGATCTGTTTCATGTTTCTCCCTCTAGCTTCGCCACTAATAAATTTTCAAAAACTAAAAAGCTTTTTTCGTCCTTGGCATAAGTAGTAACCTTGTGTAAAAATTTCATCCAAATCCGAGCAGTACTTTCCAAGTTAGAGGCGATTCAAAGATTAGCGAACAGACCGACAAACAGACAGACCCATCGAAATGAGTGTCATAGATTTTCGTGATGTTCATGTCATATAACATCCAACAACATTAGGTCAGAATTAGTTCCCAATTATTTTTGTGCGCATGCTCGAAGTAAGTACAGCTCAGAACTAGTTCCGAACTTTTCTGTTCGAACAGAGAATTACATGGCTTGTTGTCGTACACATAATCTTAATTGAAATAATTTTCAAAATTATCAAGTTCCTGTGTATGGAATTTGACATAATTTATTGCTTTTTGACTGTAAATCTTTCCAAAAAAATTGGTAAAACGAGATGACAGATTTAACAAGAGATGAGTAGTCTTGGGAAGATATTTTAATGAAATAGTACGGAGTATAGACGAAAAATTTCGAAAATAAGATATGTTTTTTGCATGGTATGCGACATGTACATCACGAAAAACTATGTCACTCATTTCCGTCGATGTGTCTGTCGGTCTGTCCGCTAATCTTTGAACCGCCTATAACTGGGAAAGTACAGCTCGGATGCCAATGACAAAAAAGCTTTGTAGTTTTTGAAAATCCATCTAGTGGCGGCGAAGAAAAATGCCAGAAGCGAAAAGAAAATAAAAAATCGCTCAAACTTCGTTTTATGACGTTTCACAGGACCCTGGCCATTATTGAAAAATCATTGAAATGCTGCAGCACCGATTGAATTGGCGGCCAGGCGTAGGGATCAACCCTCGTAAACTGTGAAAAAAGATTATTAATTGCTGATATTTTCTAGCAATTACTATCGGAGTGAGAATATTGGGCCCAGCACTAGGATTCATTGTCGGCTCATTGTGTACTAGCGTTTACGCAGATCTGTCTGTTGATCCAAAGATTGATTCCTCAGACCCTAGATGGGTTGGAGCTTGGTGGCTTGGTAGGGTTTATATAAAATTTTATTCTGGAATTTGGACCGAAGAGGATGATTTAACGGGAATAAAGTTAACAGTACCTATTTTCTTCGTTTCTCTGGTCTACTAAATATTACAAATACAAAATATTGACGTTTTAAACAGGCTTTCATCCTTTGTGGAATAGGAAAAGATCCTATAGAAGTCGACGTCAAGCCGGAAATGGGGGATAGGCAAAATCATAATAGTTATCAGAAAAATATAAAAAAAAACCTAAGTTGTGTGCTTTCCAGATTATAGGCTTTAAATAAAATCGGAAAAATCTACACCATGTGATGAATTTTTAGTTCCCATTACTACAAATTTCAATTTTTTCTTAGAAGTGGGGAGTGACCAATGGATCAGCCCACCGAATCTTACGGAAGAACGAGCTCCGCCCGTATCACGTACAACGAGTACAATCTCTACAACCCCGGGATTATCTTCCAAGAGTCAAGTTTTGTCAAACAATGTTACAGGGACACCGGGAAGATCCGCAATTTTTAGAGAAATTTTTATGAACTGATAAGTTGACATTTAACAAAGATGGTTACATGAATCTACACAACTTACACGAGTCGCATGTAGAAAATAATCCACATTTGATGAGACAAGATAGATCACAGTATTGTTTTAAATTAAACATATGGTCCGGGATTCTTAATGTGAGAATCATTGTACCCTTTCAGCCAGAGTTCTTGAATGGCGAAATTTATTTAGAATTTTTACTGAATCATTTACCAAATTTATTGGACTACGCCCCTCTAAGCATTTATAGAGACATGTGGAACCACCCGACGCACTATGCCCGTTCAGTCGGAGAATACCTTGATGCGAAATAACATTTATTGAGAATTTAATTAATGCATTCGCGAATTAATAAAAGTAGCGTTACTATCTGTCTTGCTGTCACTACGTAGAATGACAATGTCCGTCACTGCGTATAAGAAAAAAATTAAATTTGTAGAAATGAGAACTAAAAGATTATCACAGGGTGGGATTTTTCCGATTTTTCTTTAAAGGTTATAATTTGAAAAGCACACGACGTAGATTTTTTATCCCCGTTTCTGGTTTGACGTCGACTCCAAACACCATTCCATATCATAGACAAGTATGTAAGTGTATCATGGATCTGGAGCCGAGATATTTGGCATGACCGAGATATAGAGATGTTTGAAGCAAAGTGGTCAGATATTGTGACCTTCGTGCGAACATCTGGCAGATTTGGCATCTGTTTTTAAGTCTAGTTGAATTATTAGCTGAAAGCGTCAAAGGTTGTCTGGTTGTCTAACTTTTATAATAAACCGATTTGGTCCAAATTCCTGGATATATTAAATTGCTGAACATTTTAAAAGAACTCTTTTGTAGGTTTGGTTTTGATTGCCGGCTTACTTATGTTGGCATCGTTGGCCATGTTTGCCTTTCCCAAGAGGTTATCTAGTGCCAAAACTATAACTAGAATAACACATCCTTCCAGGAAACATCCTAGCATAAAAGGTAAGCTAATTTTTCTATTCAGGAAACTTTAAATCTTGAGCAATTATTGTTTCTCTAAAATGTGCTGAAAAATGTATTTTTTAGATTTTCCGAAAACCGTGAAACGTCTTTTAAAAAATGACATTCTGATGTTTAGGACAGCTAGTAGTGTCTTGCATATTCTTCCTATCGCAGGACTGTATACCTTTCTGCCAAAATATCTAGAAACTCAGTTTCGCCTTCCAACCCCATCTGCAAATATGATATCAGGTTTGTAAAAATACCATTTTTATCAAAATCTTAACATTATTTTATGTATTTATACTAAAATTGTAGAATGATTTATACAGGGTGGATTAGAAAGACGTAATAATTTAAAAACCGCAATGCTCGTGACAGACACGCGGGAGCGGGACACGGGTAGTGGGGATAAGTAGTTTGGTGCTCGGAAATTTAGTCGCCATGGAGCGTTTCATCGGTAAGCAGCGTGCGTTCTGTGTCAAGCCTTATTACAAAAGTGGAGATTCGTGCACTATTGCGCGGCGTCTGTGTAGGTTACATGATCTAAATCAATGTAATAGTAAAAGTGTGATCAGGTCGTGGGTCAGAAAGTTCGAGTCTACCGGTTCGACACTGAACCCGAAACATGCGACATCCAAGGTCAACACGAACAGAGGAAACTGTAAGCGAAGTTGCGACGTCCGCACGACGCGATCCACAGTTATCATCCCGAAAGAGATCAGCTGAGCTCGCCATATCAAGAACATCTGTAAGGCGTATTTTGGTAAAAGACTTTAAATTGCATCCATATAAATTACTACTACTACTAAACTAGTGCAGGAATTGAAACCACAGGACCACTATCTGCGCCGTTCGTTTTCCGAAACAATGTTAGAGCGCTTTCCAATTTTCATTTGACTGGATTTATCAACAAGCAAAATTACCGGTATCGGTCCACAGAAAATCTCCAATTAAAACATCAACGACCTTTGCATTCGCGTTATGTTACAGTTTGGGTGGTCATGTCGGCTGAATGAATCATCGGACCCTATTTCTTCGAAAACTAGCAAGGCGAGACTGTAACAGTAAATTCTAATCGCTACACAGCAATGCTACGTAACTTTTTCTGTCCACAGCTACATAATTTTGAAGGCTACCATAGTAGGACCTGGTTTCAATAAAATGGCGCGACATCACATACCGCCAACGAGTCTTTAGCAGCTGTAAACCAAATCTTTATTGGAAAACTGATATTGCGACGAGGGGACATTCCGTGGCCTCCCCGGAGCCCAGATCTAACACCACTAGATTTTTTTCTCTGGGGATACCTCGAGAGCCGCGTTTAAACCGATGACGATTGCCCAGCTCAAGCACAAGATTTCCGAGGAGATGTCCGCTATCCCACGAGCGATGTTTCACGAATTTGAAGTCGAGATTCGAGGAGTGCGTACGTCTCTATGGCTCACATCTCGAATGATGTTATTTAACGCTTTGTAGTTTTTTCCTGTGATTTTTCAAAATCAGCTCAACCTAATGGCTCACCCTATATTTTAGGTGTAGGAGGCATTCTTGTGATGGGTCTAGGCATAATAATAAGTGGAGTATTTATTTTGAGAGTAAAGCCTAACGCAAGGTTTGTTGCGGCTTGGATCGCTTTTACAGCAGTGATATATGCAATAGGTAAGTTAGGTATTTTTATAATAACTATAAAATTCTGCCTAGGGGAGCCATGGCAACAATACCTAAAGAGCGCCCCCACAAAGTCTTCAAAAATATATCGTCTAGCTGCTTATTCGCTAGATAATTCGCCCGCTAGTGAGCCAAATAAATATATAATATATAATTAAGTAAATTTTGTTATCCAAATATAATTACAATTTTGTATTATCATCCTCAAAATAACTTCCTTCTGAGCCACGCAGCGCTGGAGACGGTTCTCCCACTCTTCATAGCAGTGCTGGATCTCGGATACTGGAATAGCCTTCAGCTGGTGGGTTACAGCCGTTTGACTGTTTTCGACTGCCCCAAAATGAGTTCCCTTGATGTGATTTTCCAACTTCGGGAAGAGAAAAAACTCACAAGGACTCAAGTCAGACGAATATGGAGGCTGAGGAGCCGCAGGATTGTTCTTACTGGCCAAAAAGTCGTTTATTGACATTGCTGTGTGAAACGGAGCATTGTCGTTGATGCAACACCCAGTTGTTATTGATGTTTGGTCTCACACGAATGACCTTTTTTCGAAGTTTTTCAAGGACCTCCCGATAAAAGTTTTGACCGTTTGGCCTTGACTTTTGGTGGACGATTCCGTGAATATCGAAAAAACAAATCATTATGCATTTGATCATCGACTTCATCGTTATTGTTTTTTTGAGCATTGGAGAGGTTGAAGTGTGCTTGGTTTCTGGGTAGTACTCAAACCCCAAGACTCGTCGCCAGTAATGACACGTGCCAGAAAATGGGGGTCATTCTCTATCGAATCCAGAAAGTCAAGGCACCTTTCCTTCCTGATGTCCTTTTAGTTTTGCGAAAGGTTTTTAGGAGCCATTTTTGCGCAGGTCAAAATCTTATAAACTGTGATATGAGTCAAATTGCAACTCTTCCCCGATTACAAGATCCCGGTTTCTGTCGATATTTTCTTGAAGATGGTCTTTCGCTTCGTGGTTCATCTTCTCCCTTTTGAACATGCCTTAAACCACCGAAAAACCTGGGTTTTTGACAAAACACTATCTCCGTAGCCTTGCTGAAGTTTAGTAAGGGTTTCCGATGCACTGTGCCCAAGTCTGAGGCAAAACCTGATAGCACACCGTTACTCGAAATTGATGTCACTCATTTTTAGAACACAATAGAAAAAACTGTTTCACAAAAAAAAAACGGAGCGAGTTCAAACGTGTACTGAAGGTGGATCACGTGTTCCCCCTGTCTCTCCTTCAAGCTCGGCGCCTCCAGTGTTGCCAGTCTCATCACTTAATTTACAGACCTCATGCAAGAGGCACAATAGGACCTAAATGCTATAATTTTGGCTAATTACTCCAATATAGAATATAAAATAAATATTATTTCAGGTATGGGAATTCTAATGTTCATTGGTTGTCCAACTAATGACTTAGCTGGCCTTAAAGAAAATAAGTGAGTACCAGTTTTTATATCACCGTTGAAATTTTAAATCAATAACTGCATACAATCAGCATAAATTAATCGAATCTTTTCAAAAAGCAAAGATCAAAAAAATTGTACACATATGAAATAAAACTAACCATTGTATATCTTTGTTTTCAGATTCGATGCCAATCTACTCAATTGCAACGAAACATACTGCAATTGCAACAAAGACAAATTCGCACCAATATGCGGTCAAGACGGAAAGACGTATTTGTCGCCGTGTCATGCTGGTTGCCAGAACTACGTAGAAAAGGACGGCAAGATAATCGAGTATTCACAATGCATGTGTTTGAATTTCACCAGCAACACTACAGTGAATGACCAAAATATATACGGAAACGCTACAATTGGATACTGCGATCTTCAATGTCCGAATTTTATTTTGTATATCATTTTATTCTCTATTTTCGTATTTATCCACTCGACGTCAGAAGTGGGATCGATGTTGTTGATTTTGAGATGCGTGGATCCTAGAGACAAAGCGATGGCACTGGGATTGATACAATTTGCTATTGGCCTGTTTGGAAACGTACCCTGTCCTATAGTCTACGGAGCCGTTGTAGATTCGGCCTGTCTTGTTTGGAAAATGGCTTGTGGAGAGAAAGGAGCTTGCGGATTGTACGATTCTGATGTCTTCAGGATGTTCTATCATGGTAAGTACATTCTTATACTGGAGATGCCGTGAATTTCCGAAACCTAAACACCGATGTACCGCGGCTGCTGTCGAGATGTCTGGTTGATACGAGTTTCGAACTGTTTGCTTTCAATAAGAGTATGAGCCCCATATGAGGACATTTGATTTATCCAAAGTCGTTTAACAGCTTGTCAAAAAAAGCAATTTAAAAAAAATGGTAACTAGGACTTTGGAATAACTGCTGAGCATTGTTTAATGAATTAGTTTTAATATTAAGCATTACAAAGACTATTAAGATACACATGCTCAAAGCTAGCACAAAAGCATGCTATTAATGAGCAATTGCTACCAGTAGCGCTCGTGGAAGGGGGTGTGCTTTTAGCGCGTGTGAACAGGTCTGGTTATTAAGCATGCTGTTATTGAGCAGCAGGTGCGCGTGTGTGTTCCAAAAATGGCGCGCTGGGGTGACAACAAGACGTTAAAGTTTTTCATTCTGTATCGAAATCATGAATGTCTGTGGAACCCAAAGTCTCCGCAGTATAAAAACAAAATTTTAAGAAACAATGCGTATGAGCATATGTTAACGGATTTCATCCTATTCCTTCTCTTCCTCTTTCTTGATACCAAAAGTTTTTGGACACATTGTAATACAATCAAAATGATGACTCTTATATCTACACATATATTTTTCTGAATTTTATGATCCTTAAAGGTACCACCCATCTCATCTAACCTTTTATTTGTGTTACTCCGTCTATGATGGTTTTCTGAATATTTTTCGTAAAGTAGATTGACTCAGTACTTAAGACGCACTGATATACAATAGTCAGGGACTGACAAAGCGACATAAATGAGAAACACGGGCTTGCGTGATGCAGATGTTATCGCGGGTGCAATACTTCCATCGTTTAGGCAGTCGTAGATTTTGAAAATTGACTCAGAGGCGGCAGAAATAAAATCGCTGGAATATAGTGTTACGTTTCAGAGGTTCCTGCTCATTTTCAGACATTGTTTGGAGGGGTTAAAAGTTGTAGGTTGGAAGCTGTATGCGGTAAATGGTTGTAAATTGTTGCATATTTGGTGTCAGTGAAAGACCTGCTATAATTAAAAAGCTGCTGATCTCGGTAATCATATGCACCTGTTAGGAATAATAGATCACACATATTTTGTCTACATCTGGCATGGAAACATAAATATGATAGATTTGCTTTGTATAGTTTGATATGCAGAGGTCGAAGATTCATCGTACCTAAGTGAACCTACCTAATCATGATTCGATTTCGCCTTTTGAAACGATTTGCTTTTAAACCTCAAACGAAGGTGTAGGAAGTATAGAGTCAACCTACTTGACGCCAATTTTTTTTTTGTGATAAAGAATTTAACCTTTACTAGATTTTCTCGAAGTGCGAGTAACGCTGGGTACAGTAAAATTGTATAAAATAAAAATAACGGATTTGTAGCGCAATTTTCTTTTTTAACATTGCTTTTTCACGGGCTACAGCTCAAACGTCTTAATATATTTTGACATTTGAAGCGTCCGTCGCGGAACCGTACAGTGTTCTGTCGGATCGAAATGGAAAGGATCGGCGTGGAATTTGCATCGTACATTTATTCGACATAGGTTGTCATAACGAGATCGCCGTTGTGTGATATTGATCATCAAATCATTTGATCTTTAAATAACAGTAAGCATGAACTTTCTAAATAAGGATTTTTTTTAGGAATTCAGAAGTAATAGAGTTGTGAATACTGCTTTCCGTAAAAATATCACAACAACTAATGCTTCATTCTTTTCAATTGCTGCGATCACTTTTTTTATATTTCGGAAAATTATACTCATTTCGGATATATCTTCCCCTACCAATTTTTTGGAGCACTTTCATCAGTAATCCACACTTATTTGAATATACGCGGAAAAGTGATATTTCCAACTTTGACGTTTGATAAAAAAAGTTACCCAGCAAATTTTTTGTATCTCTCGATGGAGGACCTTTTCATATACCCCCATAAACAGCTTAATACAACTTTTTGTTTCAAATTCTAGATATTCCGGTTTACCAGACGCGTATTAAATATACTGCCGTACTTCACTTACTGCCTTTTTAAATTGTGATGCTAATACATCTCTTTTATGACGACATTACAAAATATATCATTGATCACGTTATTTAACAAAAATCGCTAGTTTTTCACTTTGTCAAATATTCCGTATTAACTACATTTCCTAAGCATAAAAGCAGTAAATCAATTTCTCAAATCAAAAAAGTAATAGTCTATACTGTTTTTATTCATTATACGTATATGATACAAGTACTGCCTTTTTACCATTTTATAACCTATCATGATGTTTAATTATTTAGTTGTTTCTACTCTATTATTTGTGAATAAATATTTATCGCTTTAATTATTTTCGCTCCGAAAGGATAATTTTGAAAAATATTCTTTGTTTAACTTGACATATGAGATAACATGCTGCTTTTATTTTATTTATACCTATAATTATTTTCGTTGAATGCAACTATTGAATGTAATCATATAATTATTAAATTGAAGTATTAGATGATCAAAAGGCTTACTTTTGTTCTATTTACGTGAATTTCAATGTGAATGAATTATATGAAAATAAAATAAAATTCTGCATTACTGCGTTTTTCCGTTGAAAAATAGTATAAACAGGTTATGAAAACTACGAAAAAATGCAGTAAATTCGTTTTTGGATACAGAATGTCATTTATTTTAAGTCACAACAACAATTATGATCCGAAATCACATACAAATTACTCTCTATAAGGTCATGTCACTTTGCAATAATCACTAACTTTTGTTCTGACGTAATAATGCTAACTTTATATTTAGTTCTAAAGAAATCCAAACATTTTAATTCAATTTTCTGAGATTACGATTTTTACACTTTTCGGCAGTATAGTTGTTCAGCCGGCGCTTGGGGAGAAATTTTATTCAGACCATGGCGCAGCCAATACTTTCAGGAGACATGGTTTATAAGATACGAGGGTTCTTTCAAAAATAAGGTTCCCACATTTTTTCAGGCACAAAGAATTTTTATTTGAAAAACGAATCGCCCACTGGAAACGTTGATCTTTTTACTATTTTCTACATAGTTGCCATTTTTTTCTACGCATTTTTTCAGATGTGTAATCCACTTTTGCACTCCTGCCTCAAAGAAGTCCGCCGTCAGCCCATAACTGCTTCTTGCAACTCCACGTCCGTCTCGAACCATTGACAACCTAGGTGCTCCTACATTTTCGGCAACAGATGGGCGCTAGGTGCTATGTCAGGGCTGTAAAGGGGATTACGACGATTTTGGATTGTCCGTCTCAGCTTTTTTAGAAGCCTCAGGAATTTTAACCGTCAGTTCTCGGATCGTGATTCGTCGATCTTCGCGCAAGATTCGCTCAATCTTCGCCACAACTTCCTCGGAGATCGTCGGCCCACAATACTTCAGTCAACTAGCGATGATTTTTTTGGGTGGTAACTTCTTTGCGTGCAAAAAACGGATGTCCGCACGAATTTTCAACCTGGCGATGAAGAGCTCTATTGCGCATGGCTGCCGGGCCGGTACTGTGCATCGCAGATAGGCGTTTGTTGTTAGGATCGATGGTGGGGGAGCCGACAAACACGACGGTGTTGCCAGATTTCGCCTAGCATGAAGCGCGGCGAACTTACAGGGGTGGGAACCTTATTTTTGAGACAACCCTCGTATCTAGCGTACCGAACAGAAAACGATTCCGTAGTTGGATATAAAAAAGTTAATGCATGGGAAATACCGAGCCGAACTACTCGATGAATGACGAGTCCTCAATTTGGAAGCTTCACATACATAATATTAATTAAATTGGAGAATTCAGGTCACACCGATCGCCGACCTAGATTTTGATAGAAGTTTTCGGCAGCCCTGAGGCAGTTAAGATGATTTCTTTTTCAATTAATGTCTTATTTCTCCTGAACAATTTATCAGTGTATGCGGACTTCAAAATTGAATTAAGAGATGGCTACAGTGCGAGCAACCTACGAAATATGCAATATTTTCTGAAGGATGGGGAGCTCCTACACGTCTTCCTCAGGATTTACTCAGAGCTGGAATCATCAGCCACCCCAATCCATGAGGCATTTCACATGAGGCGGACAACCAAAAAATTTTAAGTTATGGGTATGAAGTATACGAGAGACGCTCGGTAAACTTATACTATACTTCATACCCAAATTGGACAATTTGGTTCACAGTTCCAGGTTCCGTCGCGTCAATTACATGTCATCTGTCGACGCATTATCTTTCCGTTCCGTCCCCTTCTCCACGTGTAGCGGAAGTAGGAGGCTAGGAGGTTAGAAACTGCTTTCCGATTGTTTCCCCAAAAGTTCTTCTCGTTAATTCAGAATTTTCAATATGTTCAGGTGTATTGATAGTTTTAACACATAACGATGGTATCTGTCGTTATCAATAAGCCCAATATTTCCGTCCGATTGTTTTTATATATGTAACAAGTGCTCTCATCTCTATGTTCGTTTTGAAACACCATTTGGCCGCAACCTCAACGATGAGTAAGTTGTTTGACAATTTAAGTCGTTCCTGTATTGGTTGCTGGCATCACAATTGTGTTTTCAGATCCTGGTGAAGGCTCCATAGAGAATGCCGAAAGTTTGATTTTCTCGTGAAAAGAGTTAACTAAAGCCGAAAAGTTTGCCAATTTCCCAATTAACAATTAATTGTATTTTTTGCCCAACTGGTCGTTGGCAATGGCAATGACTACTGCTCATATATATAGGGTGGCCCATCCATGTGTGAACAGAATATTACTCATAAACAAATACATTTTGGGAAAATCTATTTATGGCATGTTATACATGACTTTTAGGGCACATTTCTAAAGTATTGGCGATTATATAAGGTGTTCCAATTTTGACCTACATATCAAAGTTGCAATTTTTTAAATGGAATGCCTCAAATTTTATTGCATATTTGGATAAACCAATAGAAAAGAAGAAGATTGATATGACATTCTA